GCTCCACGGCCGCTGCCGGTTTATCCCCTTCCCCCTCGGCCTCAGCGCGGAGGCCGCGGGAGGGGGCGGGGGGGCCAACAGCACCACTAAATCCGCCTCGTCGCACCTTTCGTTCATGCACGAGGGGCCAGGCAGCGGCGGGGGGGGGCCGGAGGGGTCGTCCTCCTACACCCTCTTTATTGGACAGGTGCGGTTTGAGACGACCCCGGCGGAGCTTCTTTGGATGATTCGTCGGGTTTCAGGGGCTTACGTTTGCCACTTCGAGAGCCGCGGGGCGGGGTGCTATATTATTCACTGTCGCAGCGAGACCGACCTACAGCTCATTCGCGGGATTCATAAGCGGGTTTTGTTCGATATTGGAGGGGTATGGCTTGCGAGAACCGCGGAGGAGATTGACGCGCTTTGTGAATATGTCTCCTTAGATGCGGCTGTTCTTTCCCGGAAGGCGCACCTGCCACGTGATTCCATGGTTGTTGAGGAGCGCAAGGCAGACTTATCGACCCTATCAGCAACGCGGTATAGTTCGATAAAGATGGAGAATCAACCACAGGTTTTTATGCAATATTCAACTGCACTTCTACCTCAAGGGCAAGACCTCCCTGTGATGTATTCTTCTTATCCTTCATATTCAACTCCTTATACTTCTATGTATCGACCATTTATCTCACAGGTTCCAATGCCAAACCAGCCGGGTTTACCTCCACCGCCGCCGTATGGTTCTTAAGCATATATATTTTTTACTGCTAAATTTAAAATTACGATGCATTAAATGCAGAAGCTCTGGTGTGATTAAATTATTGAGCTTTAATTCTTATTCTTGTTACTCATCTAAACGAAAAAACGAAGAAATAATGCTTCTTCAAGCTTGTATGTACTTCTATTGCTTATTTCATGCATAGTTAATGCATAAACTTGCTTTATAAAGACGTTTGATGAAATATACTATATTTAGCGAAACTGCGTTCTAACACCACCTGAGTTATGTTTCTCTAACTTATATCGTAGTAGTGTTTACTTGAATTATCACGTCGTTTGTTTTGATTTGTATTATATTTTTTTGTGTGAATGAAAAGCGCTGCAAAGTGATCACGTCAAGCTGTGTAAACATCTTTTTATATATTTATATCCCTTAAAAGATGATATTTTTCCACATCTGCAGCATGATAGGTTAAGTATAATTTTTTATTTTTAGCAGGATCGCAGGTTAACCTCGTATGTCCTTAATAACGCAATTTAAGTTTCAGATTTTTCTAATATATATAGTTCTATATACTTTGATATCGATATGTCTTCAATGCCTTTGCGTTAGTTGTCATTCTTTGGTCTTGTGTTGTATATTATTATTACTATTCACTCTTTACCTTTGCTCTATATAAGAAGTCAAAAGTCTAGATAATAATTCTGAAAAACACAACTTAGAACTATCATTAAATTCATTAGATTTAGGTCCCTTTCTCGTTTAATGCATACCGACACCCGTTTAGGATACAACACCCAGACAATCTTGTGGTTGGGCTTTTGAGCCTCAGGCTACTGGCCTCTTTATTGCATGCGGTTAAAAATGGCAAACAAAGGAAATGACATCCCCCTAAAGTTCAATGGTGAACTTTAAAGGCTTACTTTTACATATCAGAAAACAATGATGGTATTATTTATTATCCCAAACTTGGGGTCTGCATATTGTATTCTTGTCGGTAGAAAGGAGACAAAGGAGAGGAACCTTGAACGTTGAAGCCTTCCATATTTGCACCTTTTAAACTTCTCGTGTGCCAAGAGGTCTGTAACAGGTGTGAACATCCTAAATTGTACCCCAAAAATCGATTGATGTGGAGGCTTCAAGTGTTCGTTTACCCCTTTCCCGCTCAATTTCGAGTTTGAAACCGTGGAGATATAAACTCCTGGCGCAGCATCAAGGAAATTATTATTTTTAGATGTAATTTTTGACGAATTCTGTGCATTAATATTATTCAAGCAAAAAATATATATTCCATATTTTCTTTTCCCAGTACTAAAATTTGTGCCCGTCGTAGATGCATTTAGATGTACCATCATCCAAGCTTTTTAAAAGCCCACTATGAGGCGATAGAGCAGATTTTTTTAGCGGCCTTTCCATTCGCTTCCCTTGTCTTCCCCCAAGTGGCGTCTCCCCCCCCCTCCCATGGCGGTGTTTTCGATTTCACCATTCCCTCCTTTAGCGAGATGGAGCTCGGGGAAAGGGGGGATGCCAGCCCCGCTCCCCCGCCACGCGCGCGGCGTTCAGTTCGGGAGGTTGGCCCCGCCACGGCGCTGTGGCGGCTGCTCTACGCCCGGCACTGGGGCCCCGCCGCGGCGCCTCGGCCGGGGGCCTACCCCCGCTGCCCCCTTCTCCCGCCCCGCGCGCCCGCCCAGCCCTGCACCCCCTTCTGGGTCCCGGACGCGGTTGTGCTGCTGGGCGGCTACGAGCCGGTCGATCTCCGGCGGGTGGTGCTCCCCCGCCTGCTCGGCCACCTCCCGCGGCTGCTTCCCTGGGCCCCGGCCCCGTCCCCCTCCCCCTCGCGCTTCTTCGCCGCGGCCCCGTCCCGCTACGCCGGCGGCTTCGAGCACCAGCGCGAGCAGGCGGCCTTCCGCGACAGGGGCTGCGCCCTGCACGAGGAGGGGCTGGTGGAGGTCGCCCTGGGGACCCCCGCGCGCGGCTTCGTCGTCTTCGCGAACCCGGCGGCGGGGCTCGCCGTGCTCGGGCGCGAGCCGCGGGCGCGGCG